CTTCGGATTCTGTGTCTCCCTCTCACTCTGCCCTTCCCCTGCTCGCACTCTGTCTCAGTCCCTCTCTCCCGCCCCAAAATAAATAAACATTAAAAAAAGATCATCCCACAAATCTATGGTGAACCCTCACATCCAGAAAGACAACTCTAAGATAGTACATGCTTTTGACATGGAAGATTTGGGAAATAAAAGCTCGTGTACTGCCATTGCTGGAGGTCCAAAAAGTTCCCAGTCTGTGATGGATTCACACAAACGCAACGAAGAGACTTGAGACAACGTGGGACCTCTGATCATTAAGAAAGAAACTTAAATGGACAGTTTTGATGCTGCAAACTGACTCGTCATGATGTTACCTGATTGTTTAACTAGAATGACTACCACTTCTGTCTAATTCACCTTCCCTGGGTTCTAGATGGGGTATATTGCCAACTGCAGCTTTCGTATTCATAGCATTTGTTTCCTTGTTGAACCATCGTGGTGCACATTGTTTAAACAAAAAAAGGAAAAAGTAAAAACCTCATGGCCTTTGGGTTAAAAAAAAATTGCAAAAGAACTTGAAACAATAGTATGAGGCCATTCAGTTGGGACAAATCGGTCTATATACTTCATTAGGATCTGGCAGTGTCACGAATACTCGGCCTTGTACAATAAGCTATGTTTAGAGTGAAGAAAATGAGAAAGATGATTAAAATTAGAGCTAATACACTTATCACTTTCACTGTGCCAATCACTGTCCTAAGCTCTCAACCTTTACTCAATAATTCCCAACAACCTTACAAGCAAAGTACTACTATTATCTCATTTTACAGATGAAGAAACTGAGGGATCAAAGAGCTAAGTGCCAAGTTAAAATTCAAACACAGGCTTCAGAGTCCATCCTCTTAACTAGTACACCATACTGCCACTCAGAGATGAACATTTCATTGTTTAAAAAAAAAGTTAACGGGAGCCTGGGTGGCTCCGTCGGTTAAGCATCCAACTTCAGCTCAGGTCATGATCTCACAGTTCATGGGTTCGAGCCCCACGTCAGGCTCTCTGCCAACAGCTTGGAGCCTGGATGGAGCCTGCTTCAGATTCTGTGTCTCCCTCTCTCTGCCCCTCCCCCACTCATGCTCTGTCTCTGTCTCTCAAAAATAAACATTGAAAAAAAAGTTAAATATTCAGTATGCTCTAAGACTGGAAAATCTATAATTTCACTGTAACAGTGCTCTTTAAAAAAAATCTTACAAATCATGGCAGCGTATGTATGATCTATAGGGGACTGTCTAGAAGTAATAGAACAGTTACCACCTGACTTCACTCTGTACTCCCAGCTCACTTATCTTCCCCAATTCTAGCTAAAGTAGACTGCTCCCTTTCCTTCAACACACAGAGCCTATGTTTTCATGCCCCTGTGTTAAAGGCCTTTTCTTCATTTCACTGACTAGGAAATTTCTACTTGCCCTCCTAAAACCTAGCTCAAATAACTTCCTCTGTGCCAAATTCTCTGATGCTGCTAGGCCAAACTGTGTTCACACAGCATTTTGTACATATCTCTATTAAGCGATCTAACACAGTACCTCAACTGAGAGCTTAACTCCCCTTTTCACCTCCCACAATTAGAACCTAGTTCACTGTAGATGTTAAAATTAAATTTTAAGTTCTGGTACCTAATAAAGGAAAATTATTTTTTAAAAACTTAGCAATACAAAATCACCAGTTAGCTATAGCCCACACAGTCAGGGTTTTATTTTAACAAAAGTCATAAAATTTAAATATTTTAAAGGAACAAAGTTCACGTTCCTATAAACCTAGGAGTTACAAAGGTTCCCACAGATTGAATTCAATCGCCAGAGATCTTTTTAACAAGAAAAGACTGGTACTCTGGACCAAACCTGAGTAATTTGTCATAGTAAAGGTAATACGAATAATGATGTGGGTATAATTTTAAGTGAGAGATGAGGGCTCCTGGAATCTAAGCCAACAGAGTCAAAGGAGTGGCAGGTAGGCTACAGGGATACCATTTAGTAAGTTACTGCTTCAGTCGTCACACATGCTAACTTAATCCCGTCCTTCCTAATTCATGTCACTCCTTGAGAGTAATTTACTACCTAAAAAGTTCAAGTAGCATTTACATTTTTATTACTTGTTCTAGATGAATTGATATTTCCAACTGGTCATAATCTCACGGTTTGTGAGTTCAAGCCCCACGTTGGGCTCTGTGCTCGGAAGTCCAGAGCCTGTTTTGGATCGTGTGTCTCCCTCTCTCTCTGCCTCTTCCCTGCTCACACTGTCTCTCCCTCTCTTTCTCTCAAAAATAAACATAGTAACAGCACACTTTTAAATCAAATGTCAACTCTGCATTCTCGTTGACATAAATATTAAAACCAATTCAACTACTTCTGTGTGTTACCCATTCAGGCAGTCACAGACCTGAATAAGTATTTGTGTGGTATTTGCCATTACCTAGGCTGAGAATTCTCCTCATACATTCTTTCTTTCCCCTCCTTGAAGAGGCTTATGGTCTGCTTAGTTTTCTTCATCAAATTCTCCATGAACACCCTAAAATACTCATTTTCTCCAAGTGTCTCCATCTTCCCCTCATATCTTGACAAGATAGTGCGCAGATGCTGGTAGGTATCTGGCAGCAGGTCTAAGATATAAGGTGGGCTATTCTTTAGCGCCAGCTTTGGGTTCTGACACAACCGCACCACCTGCAACAAATGGAAAAGAAGGGCTATTACTGGGAGGATCTTAAGGACAATATCCTTTTTCAAGTTAAAAAAAAAAAAAAGTTACAAAATATGTGTTCGATTGCAGAAATAGAAAAAAAAAATGCACAAGACCCTAAGAGATGATCTGTAACACCCCTGCCTATGGACAATGATTTTCCATTTTTAGTGGCTCCCCTGGAAGGGTGGGTTCTTAAAACCGTACAAGAGACTAACGGTTCAGAAATTACATAGCAGGCTAGGGGCGTCTGGGTGGCTCGGTCAGTTGAGCGTCTGACTTCGGCTCAGGTCATGATCTTGCGGTTCATCATTTAAGCCCCGCATTCGGCTCCATGCTGACAGCTCGGAGCCTGGAGCCTGCTTTGGATTCTGTGTCTCCCTGTCTCTCTGCCCCTCCCCCTCTCTATATAAAATCAAACACATGGCTACCCTGGGAAGTAATGAGAGGCCAGAGTTTAACAACCACTGGTGTGAGGGAGCGGAGCGGCCCTGAACCCAGTAAAGCATGCAGCTGAACCGAGACACCATTCCTTGCCATATAAATGACCTCCAGAATTTGCCTGATAATTCTTTTTCCCATCTTCTACTTTCAACTTTTCTGACTCCTGATGTTTTATATAGGTTTCTTTCAGAGAACAGGTAGCTGTATTTTTAAAACTCAATGTTGGGCGCCTGGGTGGCGCAGTCGGTTAAGCGTCCGACTTCAGCCAGGTCACGATCTCGCGGTCCGTGAGTTCGAGCCCCGTGTCAGGCTCTGGGCTGATGGCTCAGAGCCTGGAGCCTGTTTCTGATTCTGTGTCTCCCTCTCTCTCTGCCCCTCCCCCGTTCATGCTCTGTCTCTCTCTGTCCCAAAAATAAATAAACGTTGAAAAAAAAAATTTAAAAAAAAAAAAAAAACTCAATGTAACAATCTTTGTTTTTTAACTAGTGAGTTTAGTACATTTTATATTTGTTACAATGACCGATAAATTTGTATTTATTCCTACCATCTTATTTTGTACTTCGCCACTTACATGGATTTTTCTGTGTCTGGGAAAAACAAATAAATTAGTGGAACAGAAAAGCTTAGAAATAGACCCACACGTATACAGACCCTTCACTTATCACAAAGGAGTGGTCTTTTCCAAAAATAGTAGTGGGACAACTGGGTATCCATATAGAAAAACAATAAAATCAAACTAAACCCTCACCTTACACTATCCCAAAAATAAATAAATAAATAAATAAATAAATAAGCAAAAAAACAAAAACAAAACACCAAAGAACTATGTGGGTTATAGACCTAAATGTGAAAGGCATATCTATAAAGCTTGAAAATAGAAGAAAATTATCTTCATTACTTCATGAGAGAGAAAACTTTTTTAAACAGGATAAAAAGCATTAACCACACACATACAAAAGCTACTTAAATTCTACCACTTTATAAGAACTTGTTCACGAGATACTGTACAAAGAGTAAAAACACATGTACAGAATCAAAGAATATATTTGAAATACACAAAATATGTCTAAATGTACCTATATCCAAACTATACAGGCATACCTCAGAGATATTGCAGGCTCGATTCCAGACCACCACAATAAAGCACCCATCTCGATAAAATGAGTCAAGTGAGTATTCTGGATTCCCAGTACATATAAAAGTCATGTTTATACTCTACTATAGTCTATTAACAGTATAATAGTATTAGGTCTTAAAAAACGTATATACCTTAATTAAAAAATACTTTATTGCTAAAAAATGCCAACCATCCCCTAAGCTTTTAGTGAGTTGTAACCTTTTTGATGGTGGAGGGTCCTGACTCAATGCTGACAGCTGACTGACCAGGGTGGTGGCTGCTGAAGGTTGGGTGGCTATGGCAACTTCTTAAATTAAGACAACAGTGAAGTCTGCTGCTTCGATGGACTCTTCCTTTCATGATTGAGTTCTCTGTACCATGAGATGTTCTTTGATAGCATTATGCCCACAGTAGAAATTCTTTCAAAATCTTTCAGTCCTCTCAAATCCTTCCACTGCTTTATTAACTAAGTTTATGTCACATTCTAAATCCTTTGCTACCATTTCAACAGTCTTCACAGCATCTTCCCCAGGAGATTCTATCTCAAGAAACCAGTTTCTTCGCTCCTAAGATGTAACTCCTCATCTGTTCAAGTTTGATCCTGAGATTACAGCCATGCAGTCCCATCTTTGGGGTCTGCTTCTGCAACTAGTTCTCTTGTTATTTCTATCACACCTGCAGCTACTTCCTGCCCTGAGGTCCTGAACCCCTCAAAGTCTACATGAGGGTTACAATCAACTTCTTCCAGACTCCTGTTAATGTTGATATTTTGACTTCTTCCCATGAATCAAGAATGTTCTCAATGTCATCTAGAATGGTAAATCCTTTCCAGGGGTTTTCAATGGACTCTGCTCAGATCCATAGAGGAATCACTATCTGTGGCAGCTATAGACTTATGAAATGTATTTCTTGAGTAGTAAAACTTGAAAATCAGTGTTAATTAAATGCGGTGTTAGCAGGCATGAAAACAATATTAACCTTATACATCTCCATCAGACCTCCTGGGTGACCAGGTGCAATGTCAATGAACAGTAATATTTTGAAATAATTTTTTTTAGTATTTACTTTTGAGAGAGAAAAACCAAGTGGGGAAGGGGCAGAGAGAGAGAGGGAGACACGGAACCTGAAGCAGGCTCCAGGTTCTGAGCTGTTAGCCCAGAGCCCGATGCGGGGCTTGAACTCATGAACTGTGAGACCATGATCTGAGCCAAAGTCGGATGCTTAACTGAGCCACCCAGGCGCCCCTGAAATCATTTTTTTTTTTCACTCTGAGCAGTAGGTCTCAACAGTAGGCTTAAAATATTCAGTAAACCATGTTGTAAACAGTTGTGCTATCATCAAGGCTTTGTTGTTCCATTCACAGAGCACAAGCAGAGTAGATTTAGCATAATTCTTAAGGGCCCTAGGATTTTGGAGTAGTAAATGAGCAGTGGCTTCAACTTAGTCACCAGCTGCATTAGCCCCTCAACAAGAGAGTCGGCCTGCCCTGTGAAGATTTGATGCTAGGCACTGATTTCTCTCTACTGATGAAAGTCCTGGCCGGTATCTTCATCTGATAGAAGGCTGTTTCATCTACACTGAAAACTTGTTTAATGCAGCCACATTCACTATCTAAGCTAGATCTTCTGGATGGCCCGCTGCAGCTTCTTTCTACACCAGCACTTGCTGCCTCAACTTGCATTTCTGTGTTATGGAGACAGCGTCTTCCCTTAAACCTCAAGAGCCAGCCTCTGCCAGCTTCAAACTTCTCTTCTGCAGCTTCCCCCACCCTCTTATTGGCTGAAGGGAATGTTGGGGCTGGTTTGGTCTTCTATCCAGACCACTCAAAGTTTCTCCACATCTGCAGTAAGACTGTTTTGCTTTTACCATTTGTGTGTTCACTGGAGTAGGAAGCACTTTTAATTTCCTTCAATAACTTTTCCTTTGCACTCAACTTGGCTAACTGGTGCAAGAGGCACAGATTTCAGCCTGTCTCAGCTTTAGATAGGACTTCCTCGCTAAGCTTAATCATTTCTAGTTTTTTATTTAAAGTGAGAGACCTGCCACTCTTCCTTTTACCCGAACACTTAAGAGGCCATTACAGGGTCATTAAATGACCTAATTTCAATATTGTTGTATCTCAGGAAATAGGCCATTTGAGAGAGAGAGAGAGGAGGAATCTGCTCAGTGGAGTAGTCAGAACACATACCACATTTATCAATTAAGTCCACCATTTTAGGAGCGCCTGGCTGGCTCAGCACAACACACAACTCTTGATTTTAGGGTCATGAGTTCAAGCCCCACATTGGGCACAGAGCTTATTTAAAAAAAAAAAAAAAAAAAGTTTACCATTTCACATGGGTGTGGTTCGTGGTGCCCCAAAACTAGAATAGGAATATCAAAGATCACTGATCACCGTAACAAACGTAAATAAGAAAAGTCTGAAATATTGGGGGAATTTACCATATGACAGAGACACAAAGTGAGCAAATGCTGTTGGAATAGTGGAGTAAAGGGTTGCCACACACCCAATTTGTAAAAAAAAAAAAAAAAAAAAAAAAAAAAAAAAATGCAGTATCTGCAAAGCACAATAAAACAAGGCACACCTGTAATTGCTACTGTGACATTTCCTTTCTCCTCTCTTTCTGGGACTTCAATTACTTATACATAAAGACCTTTTCATCATATTCCATTTGTCATACACTCTTCGGTCTTCTCCATCCTTCTGCCTCTCAGTGCTTTAGTCTGAATTTTTTTTATCTTTCACTTTCCTAGTTGTCTCTTCACTTGTATCTATGCTATTAAACCCATTCACTGAGTTCCTAATCATCAGTTCTTGTGTTTTTCGGTTTCAGAATTTCTAATTCATTATTTCAAATCTCAACGGTACCAATTTTATCTTTAATTATTCTAACACATTAATCACAGATTTATTAAGTTCATGACTGATAACTCAAATATCTCTGCTTGTCCTATGGGTATATTTCTATTGTCAATTTTTCCTTTTGGTTTCCAGTTGCATTTTGTCTTTTCATACGTCTATTTTTTACTGAATGTTGGACTCTGTATACAAAAAATGATAGAGGGGCACATGGGTGACTCAGTCAGTTAAGTGTCCAACTCCTGATTTCAATTTCAACTCAGGTCACGATCCCACGGTTTGTGACATCAAGCCCCACATTGGGCTCTGCGCTGACAGTACAGAACCTGCTTGGGATTCTCTCTTTCCCACACTCTCTGCCCCTCCCCCTCTCGTGTGCACACTCGCTCACTCTCTCTCTCTCTCAATAAATAAACATTTTTTAAAAATTATAGAGGGGCGCCTGGGTGGCTCAGTCGGTTGGGCATCCAACTTCAGCTCAGGTCATGAACTCAGAGTTCATGGGTTCGAGCCCCGCATCGGGCTTTGTGCTGACAGTGTGGAGCCTGCTTTGAATTCTGTGT